GGGGGGGGGGTGTGTTTCTGGAGTACACACGCACTGCATAGTGCCGTGCTGTGCTGTGAAGTCACCATGGCTTGAAATGCCATGGCACTGATTCTGCTGGGGCCCAGCCCTGAGAACCACACTGTAAATCAGGAACCTTTTTGCTCTGGACTAATATGCCACCTAGCTTGCACTATGCATAAACATGTGCAAAAATGTTCCTCAAAAGTATGTTTATGGAGTACCTGTGGGGAAGCCTGAAGTAGTTTACAAAAAGATAAAATACAGGCAGTCCTTGACTAAACACATTTCGAGTTGCAACGAACAGCACTTACGGTGTTTATAAACTGACACCATTTCAACTTTCTGATGTTAGTTTCAACCGTACAATGCTTGATCCAATACGATGCCACGCCAGCGAACAAATTCGCTGTGTCACCCATCTCCCTGGAGAATATCTGTCCAAACTTCCTTGGACACTTTCTTTAAGAAAACAGGCAAGACTCCAGAAAAACCTGCAGCCAAGACTCCTGAAAAGACTTTAGCCAAGAACCCTTCAAAAAGTCCAGCAAAGTCACCTCAAAGAAGTCCTTTCAGATCAATATGATTGGTATTTACAATATAAATACATTAATATAGCTATATTATTCATCTATAATTGATTGAGTACAAAATCCTGGGCTATTTTTGGTGAAAATAGGATACTGGGCCTTGGTTCAGGAACCAATGCCCCATTTATAACATTGTTCCTATAGGAAAAATGGTTCTGAGTTACATTTCAACTTAAGATGTGGTTTTCAAGAACCAATTATATCGTAAGTCTGAGGACTGCCTGTATATCAATTCTATATTTTTTCTTTATTTTAAACTAAAGCTGTAATTATACAACTGGGCTTCTCTATTAACATACTATTTAATACCTATGCGCCAGAGTCTGTATGTACCATAGGTACATTTACTTCAAAACTGCTTATTTCGAAGTTGCTATTTCCTGGTCCCCTCCATTCTGAATTAACAAGGTTTTCCTCTAGTTTGGAATCTGTCATGGTGAGAGGTGGAGAAATTAACAGTAACATTTTATTTATTAAAACTGAAAAAATAGTAAGTTGTTAAAACAACTGATAAAAGACATTTATTTTTAAAATAACTGATCTTATCCAAAATAATTGATGCCTTTTTTGCAAGCATTAATTAAATAACATATATCTCAAAAGAAATATCATAACATGCATTTTCTGAATTCCAGAAAGACAGCATTCACAACTTACTCTTTTTATCTGAAGAGCTACTAAAATCTATGCCACCAAGACCTTCATTAACAGTAGTTGAAGGAGCTGCTGTTGTCCCCAAACTCAAACTCAAAGCATTCTGTCCAAGACCTAGAAGTAATCCAAACACTTGTTTTAGTAATTCCCAACTTCACTTAAAAAATCTTTAAAGCTGTAATATTTTGTGCTTAGGTAATTATGTAGATCATCATGGTTTGTTTCACTACAAGTTATCCAGCAAAATAGCACAAGGAGAAAAGAAAATGATATTTTAAAAATATTTTAAACCTAACTAAAGCATTTATGCGCCTTAATCAGTTGCATCTTCAATGCATGCTCTGTCATAATGTTTCATTCATGGTTAATACACTAATTTTAAACTATGTCCACACAGTAAAAGGTGCTTGCTTTAGCTTCTTGTAACAAAGTATAGGAATTAATGGGGAACAAAGTATAGGAATTAATGGGGCAGTGAGAACAGGAAGGTATCAGCAGAAAGTTCTCACCATCTTTTCTACATGGTTTCTCCCAGTAGCTAGAAGCTGGAGGGAGAAAAAGAAATAGTATCCCTATATTCATATACAGGTGCAAAACTGAAGATCACTGATTTTTTTGGTGAATATAAAACAACAAACAGGAAAATATTTACAAGACACTTAACTTCTTGTGTTACTACAACTGCTTGAAGGGAACACGCACGCTATGGTTACCGACAAAAGCACGTTTAACAATTTTAAAATGGAGGAAGAGCTGCTGCTAAAGAGTGTGTATCAGCTTTTACACTGTAAGATACCTGCATGATCTTGTAGTGATGCAAGTTAGCTAAATAGCTAAAAATAAGTCCAAACACAACAGGGTTAAAATTGCAACAGCTTTGCTATACTTGGGAGCAGCGCATACACCTAAGTTGCAGTTTAACAGCTTATAGGGGTAACAGATTTGGCATTGTTACCTATGCCTTAGATTTCTCTGCCTGGTGATATCCTTGAACAATGGGCTGCAGGGAGTTACACTCTGACAGATGAGACTGAAAAAAGTTACCATTTAGGAGGTCAAAGGCTTGCATTATTCAGTCAGAAAAGTCACAGGAAAAACAGGGAGTTAATCTGAATCAAAAGGTCTCAAGCTATTTCATAGCACAAAGAATATTACTTTACAGAACACCTCCCTTTGCATTTCTGATCAAATAACTTCCTTGTGCCAACTATGACAAGTAGTTATACAGAAGTACTTCTTGGTTTTAATAAAGAGCTACTAAAATTCATTCAGTTTAAGGGTGAAGAGAACACAGATGTAATATCATTGTGATATTTTATAACCTGCCAAGGGCAATAGTACTCTTAAATCTATGGCAACAGTTTTTATAAGGCAATAAGTCAGGTTTTGCCCTATCCATATGTTATGTTTCAGTATTGGAAAGTGGAAGCAAAGAGGTTAATAAAACTATCTTCACCTGTTGCTGCTGTGCTTGTATTCTGGAACAGAGAACCTCCCAAACCAGCTAATGCTCCTCCTAGAGATAGACCTGTAGGTGCAGTTGTAGTTGCGGCAGTTGTACCACCCAAATTTAACGTAAAGCCACCAGAACCTGCAAGGAAATGAAAGTATGCTTAACACAGAAACTATAGGATGCAGACAGCTAGAAAACTGCTCAGAAACATCAACTTTCCATTTTTCAAAAAGGTGAAAAAAACAACCCTAAATTTAATATAAAAATTGCCAACAGGGACTATTATGCTGTTTGTACAGTTCAAACCTCTGAAACTGTGCCATAATTTTGAGAATGCCATCTACCATGGTGAACAACTGCAACAGAATTTAGGTCTAGGCTGCTGTAGCGAATAACACTTTGATCTTTCTGTAGGTATGTGCAAAGACAAGTAGTTCACGGTGGACATCAAAGCACTACTCGTTAGGGGTTCAAACCTTCTACTAAAAGGGATGATGTGGAGTTTTGGAATGAGTAATGAATAAAGGAGCTGAAACACTGTGCCTTGCTAACTATAGCAAGAACATTAGAAAATACAGGGCATGGCTTTTGGCTTATACCTGTGTGGCAAGTGGCAAGCTGTTGGAGCTGGCTTTCATTAAACCAAACAGAAAATATTGTTGTGTACATTGCACAAATGGAACAGAAGTGTGCCTATAACAAACAGTGTGTCAATTGTGGGTTAGCTTTATGGAGGCATACATTTTTCCTACCTATACTAGACAATCGTTTTGAATATTATAATGACCCTTACATGGGAAAAGTTTTGCAAAATATTTTCCTAACAACAACAGAACTCTAACTTGCTATCAAAGTTTGAAGCCCTAGCATAAATTAACCATTACTACCACTTAAATCACTTCATCTTTTAAACTGTCAGCCTTAATATGGTGCTTAAAATAATAGCAGCATCCAACAGCTTATCTATGTTAAGACTCTTAACCATAACATTAATGACGCTCAGCTCTCGCAAAACATTTGTGGAGTTCACGCTTACAAATGCAAAAATTTCCTTACCAGCTGCAGGAGTTGATGTCAGAGCAGAAGAAAGTGAGAGGCCACCTGCTGAGGTAGAAGTAATAGGCAGAGCAAATGGTGTGGCTGAACCAGCAGGCTTGTTGAATCCTAAACTAAAACCGGTGGTAGAGGCAGATGTTGTGGCAGGAGCTCCTAGAACAAAGACAGACATTTTATTCAAAAAATATTTTCAATATGATTTTTTTTTCAAACTAACCCATTTAGTAGTTGTTTTGTGGTCTAACAAATTTTTTCACCTTCAAAATGAATTTCACATTATAAATATTAATGGGAAAGTCACAAGAATGCCCTTGAAAGAATAACCATCTCACATTTTGGTTTGTTTTATATACATATCTTATTGACCCCTTCTACACAAGTTAAAACCAACATTTTCCCCCTTCAAAAAATGTCCACGGACCTGACAATGGGTCTTCAGTTCATTTATAGATTTGCCTGTTCTCTTCAATCACTGGACAAGGGATACCTCTCTTACTAAAGAGGGAGACAGCTGACCTCTATCATGAAAAATGTGTCCTAACTTTAGTAAAATGTTAAATATAGATTGTCTATGGCTGAATACAAGAACTGTGTTATTTGCCCCTCTCTCGATTAGTGATCCTTCCCTTAAATCAGGGCAGTTTGGATTTGGGGTCATTACTACTTAATGAAAGGAATTTAGTCAACTACAAAGTTTTCCTGTCCTTATCCCTATCCCACAACAGGATTGCATCAGTGCAATCAGGCAGGGAGAGAAATGTAATACATAAACTGAAATATAAGCATAGGATATTAGATTCACTAGTAGTTTTACTGTGGGTCCTGCAACACAATCCACCTAAGTGTAGTAATAAGCATGAATCTCCTACCTGCTCTGAAATATTTTAATAAAGAATACATAGGAGACCAAAATTTGATGTGGCAGATTTTTTAAATGTACATGTGCCTGCCCAGAAAAATGTTACCCCTCTTTAAGAATTGTCAGACTAGGGAAGACTAGCTCATTCCTTTGGATGTCTTAGTCATGAAATATGTAATTAGTTTGTTCTTCTGAAAGTTTTAAGTTTTGCTGAGATGCTTTAGTTCTATGTGGACATAAATTGGTCACAGCGGATTGTAAGAGTGAATTTAATAACAAAGATCAAGATCACAAAGAACACCCAACATGAACAACACAATACAATTACTCTTCATAACTAGAAATCCCAAGTCCAGACACTTGCAGTTTACTAGGTATAGAAGATGTGTCCTATAACTGCCATAATAGAAGTCTTGCGTTATTCAATTTGAACCAAATTTGAATGAAATATTTTTACACAGTTTCAGTTATACTGAAGAGCACATAATGTTCGTAAACTTATTGCGGGGGGAGGGATGGAGATGATGATGTAGGAGGAGGTAGAGGGTGGGGAGGAGGAGGTGGGGTGGACGGGGAGGAGGAGAAGGTGGACACAGTAGAGATGCTGGAGGAGAAGGTGGATTGGAGGATGAGGTGGGAGAAGAGTTGGGGGAAGAGTAGGATGAGGCGGGGAGGGGGAGATGGAGGAGATGGTGGAGCAGGAGAGAGATGGAACAGGAGGAGGAGATGGTGGAAGAGGTGATAATGCAGGAGGTGGAGATGGATTCCCCATCCAACACTCCTTCAGACAGTTTTTTTTAAAACTCTGGGTCAGCAGGTTTAATAAGTAGCATGATGAAATATTATGCAAAATATCTCCCTTTTGTGTGGGAGCATTTATGGTTGTGTCTAAGTTCATATAGTGGATATCCATCTGTAGTACCTAATCATAGCATTCGTCTCCTTACATCTGTATTACTTCTATACAAATTAGCAGCAGCAGGAGGAAGTCAGAAAGTAGCCCCTTCAGCCAGGGCTAGAGTAGGTATTATCTGCCTTTGGTCCACTATATATGATTCTTGGCACAATGACATAAAATCATGTAGAGACTGGCTGAGAAATAGGACAATGATCAAGTTATGTACCCAAATACCACGCATACTAGAGAAAGATCTTGATTTCTTTCCATGTCTGTTCATGCAACTGTACGTGATAAATTGATTGCTGTAACATGTGCTTTGGATATCAGGAATACTGGGCACATTCAGATTTTCTGGCAGACTCACAGTCCTAATTGAGTTTATTCTATGTGGAGTGCCTTTAATTTTTCTTGTTTTTGAGTGGTTTCACAATCCCTCACAGAGTGGCTTTATATTTAAATTTTCATAATCAATTAGGAGATGATATAGGAGGTGCGGGGGGAAGAGGCAGCAGCAGGGGCTTGTGGGAAGTGGACATTCTACAACCAACATTCTCTGGATATTCCCAAAAAATCCTGATCTCAATAACTATCATCATTAAAGCAAGTCCAAAGGTTGATATGAGGCCAAACTCAAAGACTGAAATTTAGCCTTAGTGTATTTACACCAAGGTAGATGAATTTAAATGACTGATTTAAGTCAAGCCCAATTTAAGCCACTTTTATCGATTTTCCCCATTGTATATATTTTTCAGGTTTTTTAATGAAAGGAATGTTCACTGGTTGATATAACAATTACAATGGTGATTTACAACAACTACACACAGTTTTACAGTAGATCCGGTACATACATTTCCTAGGTACACAAACTAGATATATACACATATAAAAATATGTAGCTTAACATATTTGGATTACTAGAAATCCTACATTTTAATATGCTACAAAATGGTGAAATGTGTAGTTTTTATTCACTGGATGATTGACCTTTTGTTCATATTTGGACCGAGCTGCATTAAGATGACTTGAGTTTAAACAGAAAACCAGCACTTCAAATTTATTAAACAAAACTTTAATGTTCTGATAAACAAGTTTCTGCATCCAAAACAGTGTACATTTACAACTAACTAATTTATTAAACACTAGTATCAACTGTTATAGTTTTGGAAGTATGAACTGTGGTTAGTAAGTGACACCATTTTTTTCAGGTCACCTTGGGGAAGATGTTCTAAAACGTCTAGATGAATGTCATTTGAGCATAGGTTCTTACTTGCCCAATTCACTTTAAAATGAGACTTTTTTTAAACACATAGGCTGTTCTAAAAATGGTTTACTCCCTCTCAAGTTTCTAGAACTCATAAATCTCATCCTCCTCCCCCTTACTATTCACAGACAGGAAGAGAAAGAACAAATTTTCTTGCTTTTTCAACTCCTGATCCATTTCTCAGCTTTGAATGAACAAGTCCACATGAAGAAAATATTCTCTCTGTACCTGCAGAAGAGGCTGCTGCCAGCAAACAGGTTCCAGGTGCTGTGCTAGTGACTTTCACCAGGTCAGTGGTGTGACTCTTTAAAACATCCTCAGCAAACATGTACTGTTTGAATGGTTCACCTCTAGCCCTGAAATTAATCACTTGAGAGCGAGCTAATCAGAGTTCAGGTACAGAGAGTAAGACAGGAGTCTGACACCATCCAGGTGGGTTTAGTGGATAATCCTGATTAAGGAGTATACATGGCATCTGCTGGAGTCAGAGGCCAGGTTCCAACACCTGTGATGACTCTGCTGATCCTTTGTACCCAGTAGTATATACCTCAATTCTCTTGCAGGGTCAAGCCCCTAATGCATTAAATATTATACCATATTTTTAAAGCTCGACCTCAAAAGTTAGATATTTTCCTCCTCATTCTTATATAGAAGAAAATCAGCCTTTAACTCCACTTTAACTCTGTACCTTAGTCTATGCTGTATTAAATTAAAATTTCATTTTAAGCTGGTCTGTTTTTAAAAAGGAAAACAATTTAAATTTTAAAAAAATCTGCTTTAAACAAAAAATCCAATATTTTTAATTTTTTTAAAAAAACAAACAATTGATTTTTATATACCCTGATTACACAAAAAGCCTTGTGAAAAAAACTTTGAAGGGACTGTTAGATTCACAGTAACACTACACAGTCTCTATGATCTTCATAACCCGTTTTGCCCTTCTCTAAAATGTATATCTATGTTAAACTGTATTCTCTCCGATTTAAAAAAAACCCCATAACAAGCTAGTTCTTTTTACTGTAAATGCATGCTTTTTCAATGTTTAACAGCCACAGGGCTGAAGACCAAAAAAAAAAAAAATCATGTGGTTAGCTGATTTTAAAGCTATAAATATGAGCTTTGAAGAACTGTTAATAGAACTCAAGCAGGGGTGGACAAAATGCAGCCCAGGGGCTGGATGCAGCCTGCTGAGGGATTTTGTCCAGCCTATGGGAACTCCCTCGGTCCTGCCCAGCCCAGGTGCAGGGGGCAGCCGAGGCCGTGACACATGTGACCGATTCTGCCACCCACCAGCACACAGCAGAGCTGGGGCAGCTTGGGGGCTGGACTTGCTTCCTGGCAGTTCCGGCAGCAGCAGTTCCTTCTGGCTGCCGCTGCCCATGGACTCAGCACCACTACCCAGGCAACCCAGCCAGTCTGCCCTGCACCCACCACTGGGGCAGGATCTACATGGGCAAGTTATGTGGCCAGTCAGATGGGATAGGGCTGCAGGTGGGCAGCGTATGGTGTTCAGAAGTGGGATGAGCAGGAGGCTAGGATCATGGGGTGGGATCGCGGGGCAGTGACAATGTGGGGCCCATATGGTTCACAGCACTGCCTCACCCCTGGCCCCACGCTGTCACCCCTCCAAGATCCCGGACCCGGCACTGGATGCAGCTCCCCTTCTGCCTGCAGCCCCGGCTCACAAGTCCTGGCTGGTTTCCATGGAGACCCTGGGATTGTGGATGGTGACAACAATGAGGGGCCAGGGCCCAGGGCAGAGTCACAATTCACTTCCTGTATGCCCCTGCCTGCAGAACCAGACCCTCACAGGGATGTGCAAACAGCAGATCCCAGCTGAGCCATAATCTGCTGCCCACATACTCCTATGATAGGCAACAGTTCTGCAGGCAGGGGTGTGCCGCAAGTGGATTATGGCTCTGCCCTCGTCCCGCACTGTCACCACCCCAAGGTCTCAGAGCCAGCCCCGGATGCAGCTCCCCACCTGCAGCCTCATCCTGTCTGCCAGGCGATGTGCCCTGCCTCCACAGGTCCCAGCCGATCTACATGGAGACCCTGGGATCACAAGGCTGGGGCCCAGGGTGGAGCTATGATCCACTTCCCACAAGCCCCTGCCTGCAGAACTGGTGCCCATCGCACTGATATGCAAACAGCGGATCATGGCTCTGTTCCGTGCTCTGCTGGGATGGGGCCATGGACAGGCAGGGAGCAGGATGGGTGGAGAGCAGGACCAGGATCACAGGGCAGTGACAGTGTGGGGCCAGGGCCCTGCAATCCCAACTCCGGGCCCACCTGCACCACTCCTGGACGCTACTCCCTGCTTGCCTGTAGCCTCCTCCTGGCTGAGCAAAGAGCACAACCATGATCTGCTGCCTACATGCCCCTGCGCCAGGTGCCAGTTATGCAGGTAGGTGAGTGCAGGTAGTGGATTGTAGCTCTGCCCTGGGCCTGTCCTTGCGTTATCACTGTTCTGCAATCCCAGGATCTCCATGGAGACCAGCTGGGACCTGCATGGGTAGGGTGCATGCCCAGGTGGACAGGATGGGGCAATTTAGGGAGTTTTGGTGATGGGGCAGGGGGGAGGAGAAAGGGGGTGCTGACCTGGCCTGTGACAGCTCACCAAAACTCCCTAATTTGGGCCAATGGGCCCAAATAATTGCCTAACCCTGAACTAAAGTACTACAAAATGGCTCAACTAAATTTCTACAGTGGAAAAAACACTGATAAGCAGCAAAGGGTTGCAATCTGTTGAGGTTGTACATATGGGAAAATATTTTCTTACTATCTATAAATAAGGAAAAATCCCCTGAAATATTGCTCCATTTTGAAACTTTGTTTTTTCCAGTATCTCCGAGAAAACATTCCAGAACTTCCTGCCTTCCCTGCTGCTGATCCATCAGGCAGCAGAAGAGGCGTACAGGTTCCAGCCTCTCTATCATCCCCTCGCGCACACGCACGCACACGCACACACACACACACACACACACACTTTACTACAGAGCATAAGGAAGTCTTCACTTTGCGTTTTAGGTACCTGTTGCATACTTGTACAGGACAACATTGATAATGGTATTGTTCAATGACTACCAGAACAGAAGAAATCCCATTTAAAAATATACATGTTAGGAACGAGGCATGAAGTCTGTTCACACGTTAGGGGGGGTTCCTGATTTATGCCTCATTTCAGGTTTCTTCCACTATACGTAGTTGAAGAATAAGGTTATAACAGGTCTCTTACCATTTCTATTCTTATAGGTTTGTTTAACCCTATTTCACCTGAACTCAGCTGTGGTTTTGCCAAAACAGGCTTTTCTTGGTCGTCTCCTCTCCAGGAACAGAGTCCCTAAACACATGCATTTCCAGCCAAGTCTGAAGAAGGCAAGCTCTGATGCTACTATCTCGGGCATCAATAGAGGCACAACAACCTTGGTAAGGGAAAGGATCATCGCTAAGAGCAATCCCAGCAAAGAAACACAGGTGTTTCCCTGAAGACAGCTTTTTAATCCTTATATTATACTTAGGTTTGGCAGGATTTGATTTTTATCAATAAATGGTAATATGACTCACTCACAGACCAATGGAAAAAATGTTTCCATTGGTAATCATCAAAATTTATAGAAAGGGGATGTAAAAAACAAAAACATCCAGGACAGGGGTAAGGAAATCTGGGGCAAGGGACACTGCACACAGACATAATGGATGCTGCAGGTGGGGCTGAGGGAAGCCTCAGCTGCACTGCCTGCACACTGCTCCTCTGGTCTCAGGCTCCCAGCCCTGGGGGCTTTTAAATGTCAGGCACGTAGCCTGGCTTGAGATGCTGGGACTCAAATTGGGGAGAGCCCCCCCCAACCCTCGATTTTGGCTTTTAATTATTATGCATGCAACCCAGCTGGGCTGCCCACACGGTTTTAAAATTCTGGGCTACCCTATGCCCAATCCCATGTCTGTATTGGCTATCGCAGGGGTAGGCAATGTTTTTTGGCCAGAGTGCCGAAAAAACCACGTCTACCTTGGAAGATGCTGGAGTGCCAAGATGCTGGAGCCCGGAGCAGCTGTTTGTGGCCTTCTGGCTGCAGCCAGCCTACGGAGCCCAGTCTGCTTGCAGCAGGGCTTGCAGCCTCCCAGCTGCCTGCTGGGAGCAGCCTGGGCTCTGTGGCTGGCAGCAGCTGCTTAGAGCCCAGGCTGGTGGTGGTATACCGAGCAAAATGGCCTTGCATGCCATGCTCAGCACACATGCCAGGGGTCGCTGACCCCTGGGCTGTGGGGTAGACCTGGGTCCTTGGTGAAGGCCAGGGGCTGTCCCTAGGTCCATTACAGGGATGGTACAGTGACCAGTTGTATCCCATGCTCTAGGGCTGCTTCAACCCTAATCCCAGGTATCAGGCAGGGGGTGATTACATCCTAAACCCAGGGATACCTCATGTGGGATGCCAACACTAAGCAGGATCAGGCATGGAGTAATATCAGGTCTTGGCTCAGAACCCAGGGCTGTCCCTTACTGAGCCCAGTGAGCAGGTAGGGCTGGCTATGCCTCAGACCTCACGGCTGCCCCATGCCAACTCACAACTGAAACTCAGAGCTATTGTGGGACAATGCAGGCAGTCAGCTGACTGTTGGCTTAGGCCCAGGGAAGCCCAGGGTTTGTGACATACCACATACTGAATTTAAACCAACATATAAGCCAGCCATAGAGATTGTCTACATTATATGTGGAACATCTTTGTGGCTGGTTTGCTATTTTACAATGCTATAATTTGGCTGAATGTGTAGCATGTTGCCATTTACAACATGAACACAACTGTGCTTTAAATGCAACACCTGCCACGTGCCTTAGTCATTTGTCACCAAACAATACAATTAGCTTATAAATTAGTTTCTTACCCAGTGTCAATCCTGTAGCAATAGTTGTTGCTGTTCCTGCCAAAAAGCAAAAAAAACACAAATTAGAACAGAACAAAAGAAAAACAATTTTAACCACATTTTGATAAGTTTTATACATAGAGAATTAAATTACTGCCTCAGTATTTTACTGGCCATAAAGCCACGAGCTAAACCCCAGAGCAGTCTTTTTAACACACAACAATCAATACCAGTAGCTTAAACCCACCTAGTAAAGAACAACTGCCTTCTAAACAATATTCATAACTCTTATATGTTAAAAATATTGTTAAGAGGCAGTAATTGAAATACATTTTCAGGTCTTTCCGAAGGGTCCAGATAACTGACCAAAACACCATTCAGGTAACTCGTATTGTTCAGAAATTTTAGCATGCGTAATTCTTCAAAGATGCTAACATGCGATACTTAGTAAAAACTATACTAAACTTAACAGTACATATTTTAAATATGGTAACATTTTAAAGAGAACAGTGTGTCACACAAAACCAACAATTACTACCACATTTGCTCCAATCTAAGATGAGAGATCCCCCATTCAACACGAGAAACAAAAATTCTCATTTTGGATTCAAGTACTGATCTGGGGCAGGCAACGGTTGTAGCTCCAGCTCAAAACCCTGGACTGCAGTCAGAGGCGCAGTAGTTTCCTACGGGGCTGGGGCTGCAACCCCACTGCTAGCTTGCTAGGGTTAGGCCAGATCCAGGTGAGGAGGGCTGGGGGGGAGTGGAGTTCAGGGAAGACCACAGGTTGTTGCAGGGGGGTAGGAAATGTAGGACAGACAGCATAGTGTGCAGCCTGGAATGAACACTGGGAAGACCATGCAGCAGCAAGGGAGCTGCCACCACTTCTGCTACCTGGCTGGGGCCAAAGCCACTGCCTTTTACAGTGCAATGGAGAAAATAAAAACATTCAAAGTCAACTCAAGAATCCCTGAGCTCAAATTATAGCTTCTCATCCAGGAACATGTAATTTTACTGAGTCGTCATTACAGAACCACACCATGTCAGCATTCAAGAAAGTTTAATTATTCAAGAACACAATAACTAGTGAATCACTCAAGAAAGGCAAAGGGGAATAAACAACAAATATTCAGGGACAGATAATTCCCACCCTCTTTAAATGTAATGTATTGTGAAACCATCTTGTAAGTGGTTAGATAGGCTAGATATCAGGAGGCACTACTTCATGGTCCAGGCGGCTAGGGTCTGGAACCAACTTCCAACAGAAGTGGTGCTGGCCCCTACCCTGGGGGTCTTTAAGAGGAGGTTAGATGAACACCTTGCTGGGGTTGTTTGACCCCAGTAATCTTTCCTGCCATGGCAGGGGGTCGGACTAGATGATCTACTCAGGTCCCTTCTGACCCTAGAAACTATGAAACTAAGTGGAAGCTTTTTAAAGTAAGATAAGCGCGTGGAAAAGAGCATCCAAACCAGTGGAGCTAATGTATAATTCACTAAGATTTCCTATTGTATATTGCAAAAGCTGACTTTAAAACATTTAAAATGCTTCAAGTTTTAAAAAAATTATCAGCATTCTGGCACTACAAGATCTAAATGAAAAGGTTAAACTAAAATTAAAAAAGCTAAATTAGCAGGACTTCAAAAATACTGCAAGTGACACTAGGATAAATTAAACGTTTTAAAGGGTATTCCTTAATGATGTTAAGAATATTGTTAAAGTCAAAATGTAGCGTAACCTTAATCCCCAACTGCCTGCTATATAAACTGCACAAGATTGAGTAGCCTCTTCCTACATCCAAAAGGTAGGACACAAGAAACTACATAAACAAATCCATATTTTAGGAAAGCTCTGGAAAATGAGTAAAAACTTTCTTTAAAAAATAAATAAAAAGGTGTTTCAAGAAAATATAAAATTTCAGTTTGTATAGAGCAAATGTATACATGGAATCAGACAAAAGTTCCACAAAACAAATACACCTACTATGTTTCCTCAAATAAGACTACCTTGAATATAACCCTCCCCCCACCCCCCCAGGTAATCACATAAGGAAAATGTATAAATTTGTTATAATTCTCTAGATATAGAATCTAAATATTGGAGGTTTGCCTTGAATTTATCCACCTCCCACTTCTACAGAAGGGAAAATAAGTCCGGGGTTGGGGTGGGGGTCAGGCAGTCCTCTTCCTGTTTGCGTCCCTCCCAGACCTCCACCCCCACAACTCCTGTCAGACCCTGCTCTCCCTGAGCAAATGGAACTGAGGGGTAAATTTAAAAAAAAAAAACAACAACTCTGAAATAAACATAATTTACCATATAGGCAAATTACAGCTACCCACAGACTTTTAGTTTATCCAAAATTCAAGTACTTTACCTTTTTTGGAACTGCTACAACTTTTAGCACAGGGTTGGGTTTTTTTAAACACACTTTTAAGGAGCACTTTTGTATCTACTTAGATAAAGTACAAACTTTTTTTTTTTTTTTTTAAATAAGTCTCAGCCCAAATCTGTTTCTGAGTTCTATCGACTGAGCAAAGCTCAATCATTCAAGTTTTTGTGGTGCTACTACCAGCAAGTATCCTACTTTTCAGTCTGGGTCTTCAGATACTCCCAAATCAGGGGTGGGCAAAATACAGGCCAGAGGGGCTTTGTCCAGCCCAAGGCAGGTTCTAGGGTCTCACCTGGCCCAGGTGCTATCCAGCCATGGCATGTCCTGCTGTTCCCTGGGCACGCAGTGGGGCTGGAATGGCTCCTTCTGGCTGCTGCTACTGCTGGCTCCAGCCCTGTAGTATTGGCAGAGACCCACACAGGCAGCCCTGACTTGGTGTGCCCCATGCCTGCTCTGGACTCACTTGTCCAGGCTTAGCAGCAGTGGCTGCTGGGCAGAAACTGTTGCTCAGTGCAGGAGAAAAGCAGCCCCTCCCCGTCGCCGCTGCCAGGCAGTAGCCAATGCAGCTGCCTGGAGCCTGCGCCATACCAGGCTGCCCTGCGGCTCTGCCACCACCACTACTGCCTCTGGGCTGCCCAGCATGGCAGCAGTGACAGTGCAAAGCAGCCACAGGGCAGCCCAGTGCGGTGCAGGCTCCAGGTGGCTGCACCAAGAACTGCCCTGCAGCAGTGAGGGGAAGGGGTTGCTTTCCCCCTGTGCCATGCAACAGTTTCTGCCTAGTAGCTTGCCGCTGAGCCTGGGCAGGCAAGCCTGAAGCAGATGCGGGCCATGCTCAGCTGGGGCTGTGTGTGCAGTGGTACCACAGGGCTGGGAGCAGCGGTGGTGGCAGCTAGAAGGAGCCACCCTAGCTCCGCTGTGTACCCACAATTTTAAAGCAATTTAGAAGCCTACCAGTACCTCAATAACTATAGTAAAATAAATTCTAAATACCTATGAATTTTGGTATTTGATTTTGTGTTTTTTATCATGGAAAAAAAAAAATCAGCGCTTTCATTGCCCCCTCTGCTCACCAGGACATAAGTCCAGCTGTGGCTGTGCCCTCCCCCAACTGCTTTGTGGCACTGAGCAGCCCTGATATGCCAGCATCCTGCCCCTGCCATTGCCCCTCACTCACCACCCACAGCCCCTCGCCCCCCCAACCCTGTCGGAGGGGACCCCCAGCTGCCAGGGCTACAGGGCCAGGGACCCAGGTCTGCAGCACCCTGCTCCCTGCAGCAGCACCCAAACACCAGCTGCTGCTACAGCCCCAGTGGGGAGTGGAGTATGGAGCCCACAGCAGGAGTACAGCCTGTTGGGGGGGGCGGGGTGCAAACTGCCCACTGCAGGCTTGGGCTCCCCAGCCTGCTGCCCTGCCCCTGGGGCCTCTGCAGCCTAGTAGGTGGTACCCGGTGCAGCAGGGCAGGTCAGGGCTGGGCGGATAAGCTCAGTGCCCTACCGCACCAGGTCCCACCCACTGGGCCACGGAGGCAGCCTAGGTTTTACTGAGTTTTTCCATCATGAACAGAAAACCCAGATCCTTGTTTATGATGCATTAGCCCTGGTATTTTGTGCAAGTTTGTATAAAGCACTCAGTGTTATGTAAAGTAGGTTTCTCCTGTATTGTAAGAATAAAATCAACATGCGCTTCCTACCTGTATTAGTACCTCCTAGCGTAAACCCGGTCGAGGGTTTTGATCCAAAAAGTCCACTTCCAAAACCCGCTGAAGGAGCTGATGTAGTTGCTGTAGCAGTGGAGGAACCCAAGGTGCCAAAATTAAGTCCCCCTGTTGAGCTATAAAATTAACCAACTATTAGCAACAATTATTTTTCCGACCAACCTAATTCAAGTATGCATCTGTAGGTATTTCATCTATTTATTTACTTGATGCTTACTCTGCAACACATTCCACTTTAACTGCAAGATAATGCTATCAGATTTCACTTCCATAAAACGGCATCAGAAGGGGTGAACGAACTACCAGTTTATCATCACCGAGGTAGACGCTTAAAATTCTAGGACAGTTTGCAAAGCAGGCTTCCATTTTTGGAAGATCAATACTGTAACTACAGTAAACTCCACTCACAATTTATTCAATAAGCATAAATCAAATACATTAGATTTCTTTTTGGTATTAAATATGAGAGTTTATGGACAGTGGTTTTGTGCATCACAAAATATCAGTGGGATACTATCATGATTGTGAATCCCCCTCAGCATAAATTTCACTAAACCTAACTGCAGGAGGATTTTAAAAGTTTTAAAATTTCAGTTTTGAGGCTGACAACTAGTTATAGACGTGCAATACAAGTTTGTTTATACTGCATTTTCATTTCTATTTTTGAAGGCCATTATGAAATAAAATTGCCTTCTTCAGACTAACATGGCCAAGTACTTTTCCCAATGTATCAATTGACATTTGAATCATAATGTAAGCTGCAGTACCAGATGCCAAAGCCAGTTAGCAGGAAATGGGTCAGTACATCATTAATATAATGCCAGATGCTGCATCTTTGAACGGCAGCCTGAACATTGCCAATTGTGATGTGATGCTGTTTATCCTTATAATAAGCAACTCCCATGGTTTGGGGCACCCAATCCACCCCTCAGGTAACCAGCCGCCCTCGTTAGCCAGGCCCCACCTCACTGTGGAGAAGATGGGACGTCAATCGTTTCAGAAGGATGAAACTTTCACGCCATCCTGACACGAAGCCTGGACTACCCCACAGCAGGGATGGCATGAAAGTTTCAGGGTCCCTTCGTGGGAGGGTGGGGAGCAGCCGTGGCAGACATCTCCCCTCTCTCCTGCCCCATCTCCGCACGCCAGCGCTACTCCAACGCGGGGCCAAGAGGGGGTGGCGCAAGGCACGGATGCGCAGCGCGGGGTTGAAGGAAGCGGCGCCGGGGCCAGTCCACTACCAGCTCGATCGCCACGCAACCCAG